GTGAGGAAGATCAGCCCTGAGCTAACATCCGTGCTAATCCTCCTCTTTTTGCTGAGGAAGACTGGCTCTGAGCTAACATCTATTGCCAATCCTCCTTTTTTTTTTCCCCCAAAGCCCCAGTAGATGGTTGTATGTCATAGTTGCACACCCCTCTAGTTGTTGTATGTGGAACACCACCTCAGCATGGCTGGAGAAGTGGTGCATCGATGCGCGCTGGGGATCCAAACCCGGGCCGACAATAGCGGAGCGTGCGCACTTAACTGCTAAGCCATGGGGCCGGCCTAACTTTTTCTTTTTTTAATCGTGGTAAAATACACATGATCTAAAATTTACCATCTTAACCATGTTTAAGTGTACAGTTCACTGGCATCAAGCGCATTTACATTGTTGTGTAAGCATCACCACTATCCATCTCCAGAATTACTTTTATCTTGCAAAACTGAAATTCTGTGCCCATTAAACACTAACACCCCATTCCCTTCACCCCCGGCCCCTGGCAACCCCCATTCTACTTTTTGCCTCTATGAACTTGACTACTCTAGGTACCTTGTATAAGTGGAATCATACAATATTTGTCTTTTTGTGATTGGCTTATTAAATTAGCACAATGTCTTCAAGGTTCATCCATGCTGTAGCGTGTGTCAGAATTTCACTCCTTTTTAAGGTTGAATAATAGTCCATTTCAGGTGTACATCACAGTGAGTCGAGATTTATCTACATTATGAAACGATCACCACCATAAGTCTAGTTACCATCTGTCAACATACAAAGTTATTACAATATTATTGGCTATATATCCCTACGCTGTACATTACACTCCCATGACTTATTTATTTTATAACTGGAAGTTTGTACCCCTTAATCCCCTTCACCTATTTCACCTGCTCCCCCCAATCCCTCCCTACTCTGCATCTACTAGTTTGTATCTATGAGTCTGTTTTCTGTTTCGTTTCATTTGTTTTCTAGATTCTACATATAAGTGACATCATAAGAAATTGTCTTAACTGACCTCCACTTAAGCAGCTTGCAGGATTGGCTGATGCTCTTAACTATATTGACTGTTGGTGAACGCTGGTAGCCAGCATACTTCTCCTGAGTATGTCCACACACTTCTCAACTTGTCCATATACTTTCCAATAGTTGTCCCCAAATCTGTTTATGCCAGTTGTGCTTATTATCATAAGTATGTAATTTAATTAGTTATTATATAAACTGATAAAACACGAGTAGGAAGAGAAAGCTATTTTAGTGAAAACTATTTTAAACCCTCTGATAGAATGCTAAAAATACTTGCTGTTGAATTAGGCACGAATGAAACAGCTATAAGAGATTCAGGAGCATCCTACAATTCTAGAAGGATTCTGCATTCTGACTGCTTTGCGAGTGTCCTGAAGTGCTTGTTCCAACTTAAACTGGATGATAATGTGCATTATGGGTTTGTTTTATTCGAGAAAAACAATACCCTGCCCATGAACTTGGAAGTTAGGGTTTCCTTTTGAGAGCTGAACCACATGGTCAACACAAAATGGATGAGATCTAAAATAAAGTCTGCTCAGATAGACACAATGCCACTCTGGGTCACTTTTGCTCAGTCTAAGCAGGTACTGACATTTAAAGAAAGAATGGGTCCATCAGAAGGGCTTGGTCTTGGTGGTGATGGGCATAGAGAGAAGGAGATGGGCCAGGACTGTAAAAGTAGAAAAAGAAGTGAGAGCGAGGCTAGTGTTGGGCAGAGCCCATCCAGGACTTAGGGAAGCTGTGCTCTGGCTTGAGGACACAGCCCGTTCAGTCCTGGGCCAGGTGTAGTTCTCAGTTGGATGCTTAGGGTTATCAAGGCCTGATGCCTTTGGATGCCCTAATCCTCCAACTGACTTCCCTGATTCTGATTTCATCCTTACTAACATCCTACTGCTTATAATTTGGCTCCTCAATTAGCATGCCCAGGTACATGTTGACACAAACGTGTTCATAACCATTCTGGTCCTCACTGAAATTAAGTAATCTGTATTTCAGATTATCTAAAAATATCTGATTTAGGTTATTGGGACTCTGCCCCTAAGCAATGACTCTACTCTTCACATGTGACAGAATCAGGTTCTGTGCTGGGGGGTTTAGAGCCAGACTCCAGACTATGATCAGTTGTTCAAAAAATAATGAGGGCTGCCAGTGGACAGTCTGCCAGCACTTCCTGGAGCCTCCTGGAGATGCCCACTCTCAGAATCCACACTTTTCAAACTGGTCCAGCCTCAGCCCCTTATCGGAGCTAAAACAAGGAGCTAGGTCATAAGGAATAATGAGAAGTTTCTTCGAAAGCTTCCTTACTGAGGCATCTTGGAATTTGACTATTTATCCCAAATATATAATCCTATTTCCAGGCACAAGCAACACCTAATCCCACAGTTATAGATCTCTACAAGTTTTGTATTGTTTAAAAAGCTCGTCCAGGGCTTTTACCCTGTACACTGAGTCCTTTGGTAGTTAGAAATGTCAGAGTCATGATCCAACACTCTGAATCAACGTGTGCAGTAAACTAAATATCAACGAGCGCCTACCCTCCATGCAGGTTGCCAAGGCAGCTTTGGCACAGCCTGGAGTTTGTTTTACATCTTTCAGCACCCGTGCTTTTACAAGGAACATACACATCTCGGGGGGCTGGCAGGCATGATGATAACGCGGTTCCGGCATCCAGGCCTCTCCGGTCTCTCCTCTCTCTCCTCTCTTCCGAGTATGCAGCAAAACACAGTGGTCCCCGTCTTGGGGACTGGGAGCCATCAACAGTGATCAGATTAACTGGATAACGGCCAGGTCACCAATTCACTCCAGCCTGTTGTAGCTCTTATGTGGCGGGCAACAATATTCTGAAATTGTTTAAAGCCTCTCAAATCTGACAGTGTGGATATAAACTGAGAGAACATGGGGAGGGGCCTAGAATTTTGTTAACTATTTCCTATATACGTTGAGGCTGTTTGAGAAAAGTGTTTCAAAATTCAGATAGCAGAATGCCTGTGCTACTCACTGCAATGAATGCTTTCCCTAAAACCATTCAGTTTGCTTTTTCAGGAAAATGTATTTACCATGCTATTAAGTATAAAACGCAGTTGACACTCTTCATTGTCTTAAATTGGGCAAATCTGGTGATTTATTTGAAGTATTTTTTAAAAAACTTTATTTTGAAATAATTTTACACTTTTGGAAAAGATGTAAAAAAGTATAAAGGACCTCTGTATAGTCTTTACCCAGATTTTTACCAATTGTTAACATTCTGCCACATATGCTTTGTCATTCCAAATTCCTCCCCTCCCCTCTCCTTCCCTCCCTCTCCCTCTCTTTCTCCAAGCATATACACATATATACACACTGATACTGCTATCTTTTTATGAACTATTTGAGAGTAAGTACAGCTATCATGCTCCTTTATCCCTAAATATTCAAGCGTCTGTTTCCTAAGAACAAGGACATTCACTTATATAACCACATTATAATTATGAAAAGCAAGAACTTGAACACAAACATGATACCATTATCTAATTTACACACCTTATTCAGATTTTTCCAATTGTCTCATAATGTCTTTTATAGCAAAACTTTTATTATTATTCTTTTAAGGATCCAATTCAGGATCACACATTGCATTCAGTTTTCTGTTCCTCTAAGTCTCTTTCAATCTAGAACATTTCCTCAGCCTGTCTTCATTTTTCACGAAACCGACCATTTTAGAGAGCATAGGCTAACCATTCTACACTGCTTCCCCAGCCGGGTTTGTGGCTGCTTCCTTCTGATTAGATTCAGGTTGCCCATTTTGAGGTTTTTGGCCCTGGGTGTATTTCATTAGGAGGCTCATGAGTCTGTTCCCATGGTTGGTGATGTTGGCTTCCATCATTTCGTTATGGTGGCCACCGCTAGGGTTTTCCACTGTAAAGTGACTGTTCTTTCCCTTTGTAACTTGGAGATACTTGAGGACTATATAAATACCCTGTTCCTTGTCAGGCGTCCCCCACTGGTCTCAGCGCCCTCGCTGTCCTCTGGGAAGGGGCGTTTCACGCGTGTTGTTTGTTCCTCCCTCCCCAGTGGTGATCATGTGTGCGAGTGGCGACACCATCCGGGGCATCATGCTGGCAGCGCACAGGCACGGGATGACCAGCGGAGACTACGCCTTCTTCAACATCGAACTCTTCAACAGTTCTTCCTACGGTAACTCCGCTTCCAGGGGCCCCTCCCCCTGCTTGGGTATCGAAAAGGGGTTGTGAGAAAGAGAAAGAGCCGATAATTTGAGTTACCTCAACAGATTTGATTTCCATAAATAGGATTTTAGAAATTTGATTCTGAACACTCCCACGACTTCTCATAAGTTCTCAAGCTTTTCTTCTTGGAGAAGTCAACTAGAGCAAAAAGATACCATGTGCTGGTGACGCCAAGGGATTTGTCTGGGGAGACTCTAGCGCTCAAAAAGATCATAAATCCAGGACTTAAAAATCCCTCCCCAGTCTGTTTCCAACTGCAAGTTGCCATCGTGATGGCCTGTTGGAATAATTTTAGTGAGATTTGGGTAGAATTTTTGATAGAATGGAACAGACTAGAACATAACATAATAGAATAGCGTCAGTGTGTTACATGTAGCATAAGTATTGTTTTATAAAACTTTTATTTTAGTAATATAATTGCCTGTTTGTGTGTATATTTATGCATGTTACATGTATGTTTGTCATGGGCCACAACGTGAAATAAACAGAATAACCATTACGTTAAATTGAGGTAAAAAATTTTGAAAGCCACTGCTCCTAGCCCCCCCCCCTTCCAGATTACGGCCCCCTAAGCCTAGTCTATATACACATAAGTTTGAGAACCACAAACACGTATGATTGAAAGCACGTAATTCCTAAAAATGGATCTGGGGAAGTTCCCATCAAAATCACAGGTACAAAACATTTCCACCCGCATGTGGTTAGGGCTTTCTCTGAAGCAGACGCTGTAGGGTATTGTAGACACTTGGGCTATTGAACATTTTCTCAGATCTGGCATATTGGTGATTATAGAGGAACAGTAATTGTGCATATCACAGGTGGCATGTTTATGCTGAGAGCCACATCCCAGTTCTTGCTGTTGAGATACAGTTAGACAAAATCTAAACCTTAGAGCATACAATTCAGCTTCCTGTTCCTGGCTTCCTAAAGGAATATATCATTGTGCACAAGCAGATAATAAAACACACTTCTCAGGGGGATAAAGAAAAGTTGATGAAACAAATGTAGCCTCTGCTTCCTGTAGTGGATAAAATTGGAAATTTGAGGCTTGCAGGATAAATACCCACTTTTTCCCCTCCTTGCTGCCATGATCATCTTTTTCCCTCTCTTTACACAAGCTGACTGGTAGTTTCACTTCTTGACTCAAGATCAGAATGTAATTATATTATTGGCTACAGTATTGAGTGCGTTGAGATAATGGTAGAGACCGGTGAAAAATGAAAAACTTTGTTCTGAGTTTTGCAAGATGGCAATTGCAAATATAGAATTTGGAGACAATGCATGTGAATGCACATTATATATGGGCAAGCGCAATGCAAATATTAGGTACTAGAATTCCTTTTATCCGCAGATAAAGCTTGTGTTACTTTTCCCTGCTAATTACAATACATGAGTATTGTAGAAAATTTGGGAAACAGAAAAGCAGGGAAGAAAATAAGTTACCATAATTCTGCCACTCAGATAAAAGTACAGTGGTATTTTTTTTTTTTTTTTTTTTTTGGTGAGGAGGACCAGCCCTGAGCTAACATCCAATGCCAATCCTCCTCTTTTTTTGCTGAGGAAGACTGGCTCTGGGCTAACATCTGTGCCCATCTTCCTCTACTTTACACTGGATGCCACTACAGCATGGCTTAACAAGTGGTGCGTTGGTGTGCGCCCGGGATCCGAACTGGCGAACCCCCTGCAGCCGCAGCAGAGCGGGCGTACCCAACCGCTTGCGCCACCAGGACGGCCCCAACAGTGCTAATTTTTAGAAGTGTGTATGTCTTATTTGATTAAAAAAAAATATTTTACAAAAATATTTTTCATTAAAATGATCATACTATTTATAGTATGGCTTCATAGTATTTTATAATGCTGGTGTGTCATCTTTACTTAATCAGTCTCTTATTTTTCAATATTTATGTTGTTCCTAGCTTTTTGCTATTAAGAACAAGGCTATATTGAGTAGCCTCGCATATGCATGTGTGCACACACACATACACACACTCATATATATATATATATCTTTGTATATATATTATCTGTAAGATAAACGTCTAGAGGTAGAATTTCTGGGTCAAAGGTTATGTGCATTTAAGTTTTTTTTTTTTTTTAATTTTTTGTTTATTGCAGTAACATTGGTTTATAACATTGTAAACATTTCAGATGTACATCATTATACTTCTATTTCTGCATAGATTACATCATGTTCACCACCAAAATACTAATTACAACCCATCACCACACACATGT